CCAACCCCATACTTAACCTGACCTTTACAGCTCCCTATACGGGGCCAGATCCCTACCTCCTGATAGTAACGACACCCTGATGCCTAAACTCCCCTAATAGATGCCTGGAGCTTGAGCAGACATGTCGGAATTCACACCCGGGGGACCCTACCATAGAACCCTTACACACAAACCTTCATAAGGACCCGAAGTAACCCTAAACCCTAGGTTATGAATCAAGAAACCCCATATGGGAGTTTCCGAAAATAGGGGACCTAATATAGTACCCTAAATGGTAGGATCCTTATTATAAGGACCCCAAAATAAGGTACCCATATTTTCGGAAACTCCCATATCAGAGTAGTGGCCTCCCTGCCCGACTTGGCATGAAGCTCGACGCAGCCCTCCGCCAGTCTTCGCTTCACTTGAGGGTTTGTGGTTCAGAATTCAGGGTTTGGGGTGAGGAGGTATGTATGTACGTTCGTACCTTCGGGTTTCCTTCGAGGGAAGAATAGTGCAAGTTCCTTAATTAATGTCGGTAAGAGATTGAGGGGGCGTAGAAGGCTTCGTCAGGGAAGGAACATGGCAACTGTTGCAGCCGCTGGAATCACGGTGCATGCAAGCATGCTCAAAGAGCGGTTCCTTATGCGCTGACTGTGGTCTTTGCCAAGCTGCGTGCTGTCAAGCACCGGACATGTACTGCACAAAACAGCATAGCGATGCCGGCATCTCATCTGCGTCCCCCTTGCCCATCATGTGTTCAAAACACGAGCACCACTGCACCGTTTGCAACTGTTGCAGCGAAACGGCCCGCTGGAATCACGGTGCATGCAAGCATGCTCAAAGAGCGGTTCCTTATGCGCTGACTGTGGTCTTTGCCAAGCTGCGTGCTGTCAAGCACCGGACATGTACTGCACAAACAGCATAGCGATGCCGGCATCTCATCTGCGTCCCCATTGCCCATCATGTGTTCACAACACGAGCACCACTGCACCGTTTGCAACTGTTGCAGCGAAACGGCCCGCTGGAATCACGGTGTATGCAAGCATGCTCAAAGAGCGGTTCCTTATGCGCTGACTGTGGTCTTTGCCAAGCTGCGTGCTGTCAAGCACCGGACATGTACTGCACAAAACAGCATAGCGATGCCGGCATCTCATCTGCGTCCCCATTGCCCATCATGTGTTCAAAACACGAGCACCACTGCACCGTTTGCAACTGTTGCAGCGAAACGGCCCGCTGGAATCACGGTGCATGCAAGCATGCTCAAAGAGCGGTTCCTTATGCGCTGACTGTGGTCTTTGCCAAGCTGCGTGCTGTCAAGCACCGGACATGTACTGCACAAAACAGCATAGCGATGCCGGCATCTCATCTGCGTCCCCATTGCCCATCATGTGTTCAAAACACGAGCACCACTGCACCTTTTGCAACTGTTGCAGCGAAACGGCCCGCTGGAATCACGGTGCATGCAAGCATGCTCAAAGAGCGGTTCCTTATGCGCTGACTGTGGTCTTTGCCAAGCTGCGTGCTGTCAAGCACCGGACATGTACTGCACAAAACAGCATAGCGATGCCGGCATCTCATCTGCATCCCCACTGCCCATCATGTGTTCAAAACACGAGCACCACTGCACCGTTTGCAACTGTTGCAGCGAAACGGCCCGCTGGAATCACGGTGCATGCAAGCATGCTCAAAGAGCGGTTCCTTATGCGCTGACTGTGGTCTTTGCCAAGCTGCGTGCTGTCAAGCACCGGACATGTACTGCACAAAACAGCATAGCGATGCCGGCATCTCATCTGCGTCCCCATTGCCCATCATGTGTTCAAAACGCGAACACCACTGCACCTTCTTGCAACTGTTGCAGCGAAACGGCCCGCTGGAATCACGGTGCATGCAAGCATGCTCAAAGAGCGGTTCCTTATGCGCTGAGTTCAAAACACGAGCACCACTGCACCGTTTGCAACTGTTGCAGCGAAACGGCCCGCTGGAATCACGGTGCATGCAAGCATGCTCAAAGAGCGGTTCCTTATGCGCTGACTGTGGTCTTTGCCAAGCTGCGTGCTGTCAAGCACCGGACATGTACTGCACAAAACAGCATAGCGATGCCGGCATCTCATGTCATCCGCGTCTCCATTGCCCATCATGTGTTCAAAACGCGAGCACCACTGCACCTTTTGCAACTGTTGCAGCGAAACGGCCCGCTGAATCACGGTGCATGCAAGCATGCTCAAAGAGCGGTTCCTTATGCGCTGACTGTGGTCTTTGCCAAGCTGCGTGCTCATAGCGATGCCGGCATCTCATCTGCGTCCCCATTGCCCATCATGTGTTCAAAACACGAGCACCACTGCACCGTTTGCAACTGTTGCAGCGAAACGGCCCGCTGGAATCACGGTGCATGCAAGCATGCTCAAAGAGCGGTTCCTTATGCGCTGACTGTGGTCTTTGCCAAGCTGCGTGCTGTCAAGCACCGGACATGTACTGCACAAAACAGCATAGCGATGCCGGCATCTCATCTGCATCCCCATTGCCCATCATGTGTTCAAAACACGAGCACCACTGCACCGTTTGCAACTGTTGCAGCGAAACGGCCCGCTGGAATCACGGTGCATGCAAGCATGCTCAAAGAGCGGTTCCTTATGCGCTGACTGTGGTCTTTGCCAAGCTGCGTGCTGTCAAGCACCGGATATGTACTGCACAAGACAGCATAGCGATGCCGGCATCTCATCTGCATCCCCATTGCCCATCATGTGTTCACGACACGAGCACCGCTGCACCTTTTGCAACTGTTGCAGCGAAACGGCTCGCTGGAATCACGGTGCATGCAAGCATGCTCAAGAGCGGTTTATGCGCTGACTGTGGTCTTTGCCAAGCTGCGTGCTGTCAAGCACCGGACATGTACTGCACAAACAGCATAGCGATGCCGGCATTTCATCTGCGTCCCCATGCCCATCATGTGTTCAAAACACGAGCATCACTGCACCTTTTGCACTGTTGCAACGCCCGCTGGAATCACGGTGCATGCAAGCATGCTCAAAGAGCGTTCCTTATGCGCTGACTGTGGTCTTTGCCAAGCTGCGTGCTGTCAAGCACCGGATATGTACGGCACAGAACAGCATAGCGATGCCGGCATCTCATCTGCATCCCCATTGCCCATCATGTGTTCAAAACACGAACACCACTGCACCTTTTGCAACTGTTGCAGCGAAACGGCCCGCTAGAATCACGGTGCATGCGAGCATGCTCAAAGAGCGGTTCCTTATGCGCTGACTGTGGTCTTTGCCAAGCTGCGTGCTGTCAAGCACCCGACATGTACTGCACAAAACAGCATAGCGATGCCGGCATCTCACCTGCATCCCCATTGCCCATCATCTGTTCAAAACACGAGCACCACTGCACCTCTTGCAACTGTTGCAGCGAAACGGCCCGCTGGAATCACGGTGCATGCAAGCATGCTCAAAGAGCGGTTCCTTATGCGCTGACTGTGGTCTTTGCCAAGCTGCGTGCTGTCAAGCACCGGACATGCACAAAACAGCATAGCGATGCCGGCATCTCACCTGCATCCCCATTGCCCATCATCTGTTCAAAACACGAGCACCACTGCACCTCTTGCAACTGTTGCAGCGAAACGGCCCGCTGGAATCACGGTGCATGCAAGCATGCTCAAAGAGCGGTTCCTTATGCGCTGACTGTAGTCTTTGCCAAGCTGCGTGCTGTCAAGCACCGGATATGTACGGCACAGAACAGCATAGCGATGCCGGCATCTCATCTGCATCCCCATTGCCCATCATGCGTTCACGACACGAGCACCGCTGCACCCTTTGCAACTGTTGCAGCGAAACGGCCCGCTGAAATCACGGTGCATGCAAGCATGCTCAAAGAGTGGTTCCTTATGCGCTGACTGTGGTCTTTGCCAAGCTGCGTGCTGTCAAGCACCGGACATGTACTGCACAAAACAGCATAGCGATGCCGGCATCTCATCTGCGTCCCCATTGCCCATCATGTGTTCAAAACACGAACACCACTGCACCTTTTGCAACTGTTGCAGCGAAACGGCCCGCTAGAATCACGGTGCATGCGAGCATGCTCAAAGAGCGGTTCCTTATGCGCTGACTGTGGTCTTTGCCAAGCTGCGTGCTGTCAAGCACCCGACATGTACTGCACAAAACAGCATAGCGATGCCGGCATCTCATCTGCATCCCCATTGCCCATCATGTGTTCAAAACACGAGCACCACTGCACCTTTTGCAACTGTTGCAGCGAAACGGCCCGCTGGAATCACGGTGCATGCAAGCATGCTCAAAGAGCGGTTCCTTATGCGCTGACTGTGGTCTTTGCCAAGCTGCGTGCTGTCAAGCACCGGACATGTACTGCACAAAACAGCATAGCGATGCCGGCATCTCACCTGCAACTGGGATAAGCCCGACAATCAGAACAGAGATCACCGCGTGCTCAATGATCAGACTTGACGTGGTGATCTGTGGGCCACGCGCACATCCAGACAAAGGGAGCCTGCAACCTGAATGTTTCCCTCACTTGGAACCGCAACCGTGGCTGAAAGACGCGCTGACGGCCCAGCGCACAACATGCATGCCCACCGGGTGCTTTTTGGCATCGTGATACTGTCTGCATCGCAATAGGCCGCCACGGTCCAAAAGGGACAGTGGTGGAGCTAGACCATGCAGGGTGAGGTGACTTAATAGCTAGAATCTAGAATCAGAAGCCATACTTCAACATGTGGATATCGGCATTGTTACTAGCATCGCACTGCCGGGGGGTTATGCTCTTCTGCCCGTTGCCCGCCGGGACCTGATTGGATGACAGATTGACGGCCCAGCGAACCAACAGATGATCCTTGGGCGCTTTTGCTGCCAGGACACTCTCGGCGTCGCAATATACCCGCACTGCCACAAGGAGGCAGTCAGGAGCTAGGCGGTGCCAATCCGGCGTCCAACCCGTACAACTTAAAACCACGATGGTCCCAGACCAACAAGATCTGCCCTTGTCACATTTCCAGAGAACAAGTATCAATTTTCTTGTAGGCAACTGCTTTCCATGCGCGCCTCCAGGACTATCATCATGGACTTCCCGGAGGTATTGCATGCAAAGATCTCATCCCCCTCCGAGTGGGCCACCTGTCGGCTGTTTCCCTCAGCCGGCTTCCCGAGCTTGCACCCCTTAGCCTCACCGGACCCTCACTAACCTCAGCTGCTTCCGGTTGTAGTCTGAACTGGTCGCACTCACCCTGCTGCACTCCAACATCATCGTAGTAGAACTGGAAAACACTAGAAATGACTCCAACATTTCATCGCCACTCCAGGGGCCTCAGACAGCTGGCCCGCCAGGGACATGAGGAAATCGTGCGGACAACCAGCAAGCAGCGAGGTGCTCGCCAGGGCCGGAACGGCCACCTTCTTCGGCTCAGGCTTTGAAGCATATAGGGAATATAGGGTTTGTATATAGGGTTTATGAGGTTGAAGGATTCGGGTACACCCTGAACAGCGAATCGGGCGCAGAGTTCAAGTGCGTGAAGACCCAAGCCCAAGCGTAAGCTTGAAACCATGCCAGACCTCTTTACCTTCAGACATCCGCAAGCCCAAAGGTCCCAAACCAAAGAAAACTCAAACCCCGTACCCTTGGTCCCTTGTTCTCAGCAGCCGCAAAGCAATCAGACAACTTACACTATATGGTACTGCATCATATTCTGGAATGCTATGTAACACTGTCTTACACTGTATCATGGAATACTACAGAATATTATGTTGCTTTATACTACTATAACTGTCTGGGAGGGTTTATAGAGTTGGGGTTCCCGGTACAAGAACGGAGACAAGGTGCTCTGAACGGAACACAGATGTAGAGCTAACCCCAACTGCTTGACAGGCCACAGCTGATATCTGGCTGGCTCAACCTTGAGACCTATATCAAAAAGCTGGATAGCTGCCTGCGATGCCCATCGGCAACGCTCCTGCTTGCTGCGGCAAGCCTCAAGGGGCACAAGCCGCAGCGCAGCACATGCATGCATCATCAATCGAACCATCCACCATTTACCTGCTCTGATGCGTGAAAGACGCGTCTCACCTCAACACCCTCAATGCATCACCATTTGCGGGTCCACGCTGTGGCCTTTCTGAGAAGGTTCACTGGTCCGGCCTCGCGGTGCAGCAGCTCCGCATTCTTGATCCAGAGCTCCGCGTTGCTGGGGCAGTCTTGCAGAGCTCGGCCGACCGCGGCATGCGGGATGCGGACGCAGAAGGCGGGGCCCATGCCCGGAAGGGCCTTCAGGGCCTCGGTGGAGCTGTCGACGAGGTCCAAGGCGGCCGCCGAGCCCAGAACTTCTCCGGGCCCTGCGAAGCGGAAGACGATGCCTTCGGGTGCCGCGACTTGGATTCGTCCCGCCAGGACGATGAAAAGCGAGCAACGCCCTTTCGGCAGGTCGCCGGCTTGCAGTGTCTCGCCGGGTGCTAGCAAGACACCCTCGGCTTCGGTGCACAACGTGGCGAGGAAGTCTCTCTGACAGCCCTGAAACTCTCGTCCAGCTTCCAGGAAGGCCAGTATCCTCCTCCCGGCGGCTTCCTGTCGCAGGGTGAAAGACAGCACAGATCCCCTTCGATTGAAACCCGACACCCCGACCCTGTAAAGCCAAACCCTGACGACGTGGCCTGGACCCTTGCAAAGGGCGCCCCGGGCACCGCAAAGCGCGAGGCCTCTCTGAGGAAACGGTCAAAGACCTCAGTGAATCAGTGGACCCCAAAGCCAAACCCTAAACCCCTAACCCCTAAACCCTTAACCCTAAGCCCCTTAATAACCCTAAAACCTGTGAACCCCACATCGAATTTCCCAGCCATCGCACCTTTGCCTCCTCCGGGAACTTTTGCAGAGAAGACCTGAGAAGCCAAGAGAAAGAGCTTCAGAAGTTTGCAGGATTTAGGGTTGGGAGTAAGGATTTCTGGCTTACCGCTGTACCTATCTATCTATCTATCTACTTAACTACATACTTATCTATCTGCGCATGTATATGCACATGCACGCCCATTCGCATGTCGGTTTCAAAACGTCGGAGGCATGGGGCTTTTTTTGGGCGAGCAGGGCTTGGACTAGTAACTACAGGGATTGGAACGGATGAATACCAGCCAGCAATCACTGAGGCACCTCTGCCTTGAAGCTGCAGCCATCCTGACCCCTGATCTCAATGGATGTCCGTTCTACGTATGGCTCACCTGAACCCTCAAGGAAACACCTTCGACGCACAAGGCCCGACAGGCCCTTGGAAGTCTATTTGTGCGACGATTTCGGGTCTCAGATGCAGCTTGGAGGCTGGAAGTCGTCGCGGTGAATCGCCTGTCAACTCTCTCACAGATACGCCTGTCAGCACTCGTCACTAGCGCTGCTTTTGTTGCGATGGTAACGGTGATTCAGATGGTGGTGATGATGTTGGTGGTTTTCGTGATAAGTGATGATGACGATGATGGAGGTTGCGATCGTCGTGTCGTAATTGCTCTTGCGACGGTCTATTTTCAGCAATATGAAGATCTTGATGCGAGTCTTACCAGCTCCATGCTTTGTGCTGTAATTGCTGCTACTGTTGAACTTACCGTTAGTATGGTTACGAGCATATACTGTTGTCCTTGCTGTTCTTTTCGATACTACCGTTTAGACACCTCTGTCACGGTGTTGCCACTCGGCCTAAATCGTAGACGCATTGCCTATAGACGCATTGCCTACCACTCTGTGCACTACTAGACTGACTTACGGCAAAGACAGCGCATGAACTGGCCTTCACTGTGCAGTCGCCGTCCACTGCTCGGACACGTCGCTTTTCACGTATGGGCAGTTCCGCAATGTTCAGGAAGTCCGCCTTTTCAACATGCACAACGCCTGAACCCTGAACTCCGAGCCTCTATATAAGTCCTACTTCCGATCAGCCTCAAACATGAACAATGAACCCAACCACACAAAACCTTAAAATAGCCTGGTCAAGCAGGTTTGGTGGGTGGAAGATGCAGTAGTCTGGGCCTCGCCGAGCGCCAACGGAGCTTGCAGCACTTGTGTCTCAAGCCTCGGCCGACCCCTCTGAGAGTCTTACGAGAACTGATTAAAGTCATCAGTCTTATGATGACTACGGCCTAGTCCTCTTCTGAAGATGATCTACCTCTCAAGACTCGGCCAGTGTCTCCATGCAGGGCTTCCTCGGCCATCTCTGCGTGCCTTACTTACCTTTGGTTACTAGGGAATGGAGGAATGGGGTACAATTGTAAACTACTACTACTACTACTACTACTACTACTACTACTACTACTACTACTACTACTACTACTACTACTACTACTACTACTACTACTACTACTACTACTACTACTACTACCAGTCTTCCATTCCCTACTAACCAAAGGTAGGCTTAGGCCTCCGCTCCTCGATGAAAGTCCCTTGGAGCAGCACCGTCAGGGAATCTGCCTCGCCCAAGATGGGAGTTTCCGAAAATAGGGGGAACTTATTTTGGCGTCCTTATAATAAGGATCCTGTTATTAAGGGTGCTATATTGTGTTTGGGTCCCCTATTCTCGGAAACTCCCTGATTGCAATAACAAGATAACCGAAAAGGAGCAACAACAGCACCGCTGACAGTGGAGGCTGCTGTGGACAAGCGGTCAGTCATCGCCCTAAACGTACACTATCAAAACAAACATCAGTGTAAATTTGGACAAACGACAGGCATGCCGAACACTGAGACGAGCAACGGCAATGATCTCATCCAGATATGCGCTGAGCAAGCCTTGAACTCTCAGAAGTTTCTCAGCGCGGAGGCTTCGAGGTTTCTGGTGGTGCTTGCACTTTGGCTCGGCCAAGGTCGCTTGCCTGCAACATCCTCTTCTATAAACCGTCAAGACCCTCAACCTAAGCCACCCAAAGACACTGAAGCTACTAGTGTTCATCATTTTTCGAAAACTCACATGACAGTCTGCAGACAATTCGGGATGGCACGCGGCAGCATCCGGGCAACTCGCACAGTCCGGCGCCTATGAGCTTCCAACCGTTCCTAACCGGCCCGGCAGGGCATAGAGCCCAGAGCAGTCATGACACAGTCTGAAGCTAAGATGATTCTAAGCAAGCCCAGTTTGTTGCTGCATAGAGTCCGGCCAAGTGCAGTGCCGATGCTGCCGGTCCCACTCTGCATGAACAAAACGACACTCGAAAGTTCGTTAGCTTCCGAAAATCTGTGTCCGGCTGATATGGCTGCATCAAGATTCATTAAGTGACCCTGCGTTCTCGGAAGCTAGCGTCCTAGCTAGGCGAATCTGGGGCGGCAGCAGAAGGCAAGGTGTAGCATTCTCTGCATGTTGCACTGTGTCATATTTTCAACACAAAAAAAATCATGTCAGAGTACTGTATCGCTTGCCTTTAACCATTGTCGTGAGAAACCCAGCATCTTCTGCATACACCGTTGCTCTAAATCGCCTGCACTCAGAGTTCGTTGCGGCGACCAGTGCCGGCCTGCCCGAGGGCAAATCTTGGGGTGTAGGGCATTGCAGATCTTGCTGTAGTGTTTTGGGCTTTCAGTAGTTCAGGCTTCTAAGCCTTCAGTCATCGGCAGCACCACAATCGATAGAGTAATCTAGGACCTATAGAGCTCCGTCGCCATTGAAACCACTGGAAAAGACAGGCTCTTGAAGCATCCGGAAGCAAGAACGGGAAGTGCGTAAAGGCGACGGCGACCGTGTTGAAGAAACATGCTTGACCAAGGAAGTCATAAAGGACCGGACAAGACCAGCAGTTAAGTGAGTCGTCATACCATTGCGTTTGTGATTGAGAAGACTACATTACCGCCATTGCCTTCTTGTACCGGTGTACCGTTTCATCCAGCAGCAGGAGTCGAAGCAACTCGAAACTACAACCCTGTTTCTCCTCTCTGACGCCCCTCAAGCCATCAACCCTCAGCCCCAAACCTTGAAGCCCTAAATCCCGAACTCACAGTCCCTTTCGGGGCCCATTATGTTGTAATTACTTAGAATAGCAAGGAACCCCCAAAATAATATAGGCAATCACTAACATTAAGGCCCCTATGTTCAACCCTGAAGGTCCCTAAAAACTAGGACTCCCTGCCTTGCCCTGGTTCAGGCGCGCGTCTCTGGGCTGCTGCCCAGGGAGGCGTCCCAAGGCTGCCTCCAAGGTCTCATGTTACTCTAGGGGCCTGAATAATTAGACTGGGATTCCTTTAAAGGGGTCGATAAGGGCCACTGAAAGGGCTGCTAAGCATGTATTATAGGGGCCTTAATAATTGGAATAGGGTTTTGGGGTATATTACACTATAGCTACAATCAGGAACCCACCAAAATAGTATAGGTAATCATTTAGGCCCCTGTGTTACACCCAGTGTGGCATTTAGGGCTGGCAATCTGCGACATTTAGACTTTAGAAAGCCTCCTCACTCCTCTGAGAGCCGCGTTCTGATACTTATGCACGACTGCTGCTATTGCTGCTGCTGCTGCTACTACCACCACCACTAGCACTGCCACTGCCACTACGACTGCTACTGATATCTACTGATCTACTTCTACCACTGCGACGATACCGACGACGCCGTAATTTCCCACCTCGAGGGCATCAGCGGCTTCCGCACTGATTTGCTGCGGGAAGTCTATGTGGAAGCGGATCACCAGCTTGCCGGCGGAGGTCGGATCCTCCGCTGCTCTCGGCCCGAAAGGGTCGAGTCGCTACTCCCCTGGTTCGGGAACCAGGCATTGGACTACCAATACCGAAACTCAGCACACACCACCAAAAGTTTGTGTATTGCATGTGTTCGTATATGATAAATACATGTCTTGATAGACAATATCCCGTCTTGCCTGCGGCTGTATCTGTTGGACTAGTGTTTTTCCCAGTTCGACTTGTCATCATTTCCGGTTAAAGTTGGTAGTGGCGCTTTTGGCAGAACGGGCCAAGTAGTTCAGAACCCTCTAGCCCGACCAGCCGCCAACCAGCATGCTCTTCAAGTCCGTGTCCTACATAGACCCCGACCAGGCCTCTTTGTGTGGCATGCCTTCGCCCAGGATTTCCAGGGCTGCGCCAGGTTTCAGCACCTCTCACTTCACGGACCGCGAAACCTACACAAGTGGGTCTTCGGGACGTTGCGGACCCTTGGCTTTGAACTGTGTCGGCACCAATGTGGTGAAGACAAGACATTCTGTGGGGCTACGATACCCACTGAACTCCGGTCTCCTAGCAAGAATACAACTTAACCTTTGACAGGTTAACCTTTGGAACATACATTAAAAAAACATACATGCATACACACATACACACGGAAATACATACATACATAAAAACATATAGACAGAAATACATACATACATACATACATACATACATACACACATACATACATACATACATACATACATATGTATATTATATATATATAGATGGTACTACCTGAAAAGGCTTAAATGTGAGACGACTTCCTATCTACGAATCTCCTGAGGCTACCACATCCCCTCGCTCCATGCTGAAGTGCACGATGTGGCCATCCAAGTGGGTAAGCTCGCGCTTGAAGCCCAGGAGAGCCTGCCGAGGTGAAGACGATTTAGGGTTCTGGCGTTGAGGGGCTAAGGGTTGGAAGGGTTTAGGGGTTGAGGGCTTAGTCGGGTTTGGGATTGGGGGTTCGGGGGGGGTTCATGGTCTAGGGCTTTGGGAGGTTTGGTGGGATTAGCATTCTTGGGGGTTTGGGATATCTGCTAGGAGAAACAACAACCGAAGCAAAACACCTCGTAGAGGCTGATGCGCACGTCGACCATGAGATCATCACCCAGTCGTTTGAAAACCGGATGCTTCTTGACCTTGGCTTTCGGGCTTTACGGATGTTCAAGGCTTGGGGGCGAGAGCCGGACCGTTCATGGGAAAGTTTAATTAGAAAAGCCAAATTAGTTGATTATAACAAGCCTGGCACTGGTCTCGTATTCCGTTCGGCTGAGACCGCAGCACGCAGGGTCACGAGAGCATCGCCTCCGTGGAGGATGCGAAGTGGCGAAGTCGTGCCCCCGAAGCTTTAGCCGATGCACCCTAATCAACAGCAGAGAACTCGCCTGGAATGTGCTTGGGGAGTTGGCTTCCCATGTGCGGGAAGTGCGCCCGATCGCCAAACCTGGGCTAGCGTCTCACGCTTCCTGGATTCAGCAAGGTTCCGGATGTGTCCCTGTGTACGTGTCTGTCTGTCTGTCTGTCTGCGCGCATGCAGATCTGAAGGTTCGTTTGAAAGAACGATCCAAAATGGGACCTGCCCGGAGTAGTGACGTGCACCTTTCCTTCTCTAGCCGAACCGGAAGCACGAAAAAGAAAACCTGCATCTCGCTCCAACATCGGAACATGAGCCGGGGCACATTGTGCCACGCTCAATCTGCATCTTCAGTTTCTGTCGGTCCCAGGTGCACTTCTCATTGCTAGGGACCTTCGACGTCGACGCAACCGGCACAAGATTCGCAAGCTTGGCATCGCAATCCGCGCCTCGAACTCCTCGACCCGGTAGTGCCACCTGAGGGGCTGTCCATGGCACCCCCAAAACGCCCTGGAAGCCCTGATAGAAGAAACCCTGATAGAACGCAATACCTTAAACAAATCTATTCACTACTTCATGATCTCCCTCACTAAACGACTAAACCGTTAACCTTTAACTTAACCCTAAACCCTTATAGACCCTGCAAACCCATCTAAATCCTGTATAAACCCTGCACCCTTGTACAGAGCAACCAGGCCACTGGTCGAGCCAGACCTGCCGCTGCTGGCGCTGGCCAGGGCAGGCCTGTGAAGGTAGGTTCAGGGTGGTTTGAGGTGCAACGTAAAGGTCCCGGGACCTGGGGTTTCGGGTTTACGGATTATGGGTTTAAGCCTGATAATCCCCCATGCGGAAGCGCCTGACACTTCCGACAGCGCTGGAGGTCCGGCCGCATGCGGCAGGACCTCGCAGGTGCAGTGGGTTGGCTGTTCACATTCAAAGCCTGGAGCGCTGCGGCAAAACCGACGGCCTACAAACGACTCTGCGGTTCACAAGAATCTCCTCGCAAACAATGCGAACAAGATAGAATGACTTGCAAATTGAAAAAGGGCGCAGCAGTCCTTCTCACCCCCTTGGTAAGCTTCCTCCAGGGAGATGTCATGGGTCACCTTGAGACCAAGAGCACCAACCTCTGCCAGCTAGGCCGCTGCATACATCCTAGGGCCCAAAAGCATCCTGTCACAGGGCTGCACAGAGATCGCCAGCCTCGTAGTTATCCACCCGTTCAATCTCACCATCGCCGTCTGGCGCACGGTTGCACATGTCGGAATTGCGGGCTTTAGCACTTCAGGCCATTTTGGTCTTGAGGACTCGGTTCGCAGCTGCGCCCTGGCCCAGCCTTTCTCATACTTCTTGATCAGATCCATGCCGCCTGCCGTCTTGCTTTGCGAAGGGCACACTATGTCACTATGCAAGTGGCGAGGCATCCCTGAACCTTGAGCCCCAAGTGCTAAGCCCTCAACGGTAGCCCGGGCCGGCGCCTGTATCATACAGGAGCATTTTCACCGGATCGCTGAGGATCTCGTAGGCGTCTCTGATCCTGGCTGGATGCTTCGTGTCACACACCAACTGCAAGCCTCAACATGCCCGAAGCCCCAAACGCGCGACCCCCCTCATGCGATAAACCCCGGAAAGCCCCAAAACCCATTAAGCCCTCTCGAAACCGACTACTGTAAGCCTGAACTTTAAACTCTAACATCGTTCAACACCAAAACCCGCTAACCAGCCAGGAGCACATGTTGAAGCGTTCAGCGGACTCCGGGTTCTTGTCCGGGTGCTCTTTCTTGGAGAGCTCCCGGTAGGTCCTTCAGCTCATGGGATCCGAGACAGACACTCTTAAGGCCTATAGTACTCTCCGCTGTGAACTCGCACTTCAGGATCCTGTTTCATTTTTGGCACCCTGAGGGCAGGAGCCCGCATTGCTTTGGATTCGTGGCGTTCCGGTGCTTAGAGCTTAAACCGTACTCAGTGCTCCAGTAAAACCCTTAAACCGAAACCGGAGACCGAGACCCTACAACCCCCAAAATCGAAAACTCCAGAAACAAGGATTTTTTGAAACACTCGACGCTTTGTTGAAGGACCCGGAATCCCAGACAAGCCCCATCCTCTTCAGGGCAGCCCGGTCGAGGTCGGCATTGTCCTGCCACGACTGTGGCTCATTCAGCTTCGGTCCACGTCAGAACTCAAAAGATGTGGCTATAGTACAGTCAGTCTACAGGAAGGAGCCAACCCAATGACACAACCACAGAAACCAAACGATGCGAGGCCTTGCCGTCGTCTTCCATGCCGAGGGCCTCGAAGAGCTCTGAAAGATCGCCGTCGTCTGCCGTTTTCGACCTTTTCTTCTCTGCCTGCGGAGCGCTTCAGAAGGACGTGGATGAGCATTAACTGCTGGCAGTGTAAGCTGCAGGGGCGCAATCGCTCGACATCAACTTGGATGCTGCTGAGGCCTTCTTGAGAAAGTCGACCATTGTTCTCATCAACCTGTCATGAGTTGTTACGGCGAAATCTCATGGCTGCAAGCACTTGGACCAGGACCAGGATTGCATGAGGTCGGAACTTCTCTCTCGCTGTCTCGTCGATGTTCGCACGAAGCAGCGCTCGAAGCAGGTCGGCTATTGCCTCTCAGCTGCTTTTGGAAGCTTGTAGGCGACAGACTTGCTTTTGGAACAAACCTAATTTTATGGGAAGCGGCGTTCGCTTGCACTTCAGCACACCGTCTAAGTGTGTCTCTTGGAAGCTTACAGAAGTTTACGACCGTCGGACCCAAACGGTGACCTCAGCAAACTCCTCCCGGCGGCCATGTTCCGCAGCTCTGCGGCTGAACCTGCCCGGAAAGAAGAGATCGTGGTCTCAGGTAAAGCCCCAACTTTTCAAGATCCCCATGGATCCCTCAAAACCACACGAATTGCAGCAGAGTCACTGGCCACCCGTCTTCAGAAGCCGGTAGCGCTCCTGCACCCAGATCAAGGCTGCGAAGTCAATACGGTATTGTTTTGGGTGTCTGGCTCTGGGGCTTGTCAGATTTCAGACTTTCTGGGCTTAGCGCCTTTGCGTTTTCGGGTTAGGGTTTTGAGGGGCTTGGTGGCGGCGCTTTGGATTCTAGGAGCATGTGTTCCGTTGCAGAGTGCGGTCGATAGCTCTGAAGGTCGCGAAGCAATATCTTTTCAGGCTTTCACCTGCGTCCTGCAGCCCTTCGGTTGGGTATCTCAAGGCGATCCGCAGCCCTTCCAATGCCCCAAGCCTATCCCACCAACCTCGAAGGCCGACTCATCACTGCAGAAGCAAACCCCAGCAAAGCCATGGTATTGAAACTGAGAGCTGGAGCTCGGAGCACCTGCGGCGTCCCCTCGTCCAGCATCTGAGGGGCGATGTATCCGATCTGGCCGGTTTCAGCCTGCATCCATCTATGGACGCACCGCACGCCCGACGCACATGATCCCGGGAAAATCCCAGGCTGCCCAGCCTCCTTGTCTAACTGCTCCTGAAGGCTCCGTGCGCATGCAAGCACCGCCTGCGGCAGGGTCGAAAGTGTCCTTATCGTGCCAGGCGAGCCCTTCGCAAGGTCGCACAACTTGTCGCGAACGATGCAGTCAGCCGCGCGCCTCCCCACCACTTGTCGCCGTCTTCCTAAGAATTCCGGTCAGCTGGAAGCTACCCGAAGACCCTAAGGTCCAAACCACTGAGCTCTGCAGCCAGCGGAGCAGGCTGCCGGCACTTTCGAGACAGTCCTCTTGAAACTTGAATCCAAGTGGCCGCGTGGTAGCAGCCCTCGCTGCAGCCATTGCGGCATCCTCACCACAGAGGACTTGGACGGTGACCTCCCGCAAACAGGCACGATTCCGAAAGCCAGCTGTAGTGGCAGCAGCAGTGGTAGAAGTTGTCACAGTCTAAACAACCAGCAACAGCTTATACGGCTGTTGGCCGCGGCAGCTGCCAACTCAACCATACACGGATACTGTACATGTCAGACAACGCGCTGACGATCAGCAAACCAAATGAAGTATGAAAGCCGAAGAAAAACAGTCGCTGCAAGCTGACATCGTAAAGAAAGCACGCAGGTCATGTATTTTGACAAACTGATGTAGCATGAAAGCGACCGTTGACGGTTTAGGGCGGATGAGAGGCCTTGCCCTTGACGTCGCTTTGCATGGTGGCAGAGATGCCAACTGGAGATCGGCCGAAGTCATTCGGGCCGGTGCAGACTGCGACTGCGCGGGCCTGCCACATCAAGTCCACAAGAGATGACCCCCTGAACTCAGGCATCTTCGGTGTCCCGAAGCCCGAAAACCCGTGGTTGCTCTTCCGCTCGGGTGCGGGTGAAAGGCTCTAAGTTCAAGGGTCCCGGCCACTAGCAGCACCGCGACAGCGCACAGCCGGCTCGGCATCGGGGGAGTCATTGGAGGGTCGGTCTCTAAGTTGAGATTTCTGCACTTCACACAGGGTCCGTCACGCATTGCTGGTTTTTGAAGCTTCTCTGGTGACTGAAAGGGTTCCAGGGCAACCACAAAAGTAGGGTTCCTAGGTTCCTGGGTTCGTATTCTAGGCTCCCCGCTATCCAGAATAAGGTCGGGCCATGCTTGTGTCTACATTGCTGATTCTGCTGCTGCAAGCCAACGCTCCGAGAGAAAAGGACAGAGGTCGGCATCTGGGATGTAGCGGGCAGAATCTTGGGGTTTAGGATGTTGGTAGCGAACCAAAGGCACCATGCGAACGCTGCATCGACGAAGGTGGAAGCCTGCCTTTGCCGAAACTTGGGTGTCAAGATCATTAGCTCGACACAGGATTTTTTGTCTTGTATGGGTAGTTAGCCTGACTGATAAGAGAGACCCTAGAAGGGACCTTAATTCAGAGAACTACCCATGTGTCGGACTACCCGACTCTCCAGCAGACTTGCTCAGAATAGCCCAGCAGGCACCTCTACCTCCACCCAACCATCTGCTGGCACGATGACGTCCTCATCTTTCAGATGCAGGCCATGTAGCATGTAAGTATGTAATAACTTGCTTTCTACATACTATGTTTTACACCTTTTGCATTATCTACAAGGCGTCCTCACCTACAGCACCATCTTCAGGGAATGTAGCTTGGGCCAAAAAGGAGAGACCCGAGATGAGGGGAGCCTCGTATCAGCGAGTTAGAGTTGAGTAGCTTTTGTTTGGCATGGTAATCTGAGCTGGGCAGTGATAGAAGGACCAGGACTCTTCAGAAGTCGCTGTAAAGCCCAAATAAGAACACATTCAAACAAGTTGGACCTAGCCGGAAAGTGCGGACCCTGAACTCTGCCACAGCAGGCATGGCAGGCCCAAAGCCGCTTGCCCAAAACAACTAGCGAAAACGACACTGATCAGAAACTCTCGCAAGCGCAAAGAAAAGCAGTAAATTTCGTAAGCGCAAAGCAAAGCAAAATCCCGGACCCGACAGGGAGGTCCTTCACATGCTGGCCATCGTTGCCTCTCAGCACCTCCAGCCTGGGCCACCATTCATGCAAGCTGTCAAAGACATTGCAAATCATCGAGTCCGGCTTTGTTGAGTTGCTGTACACTGGCTTTTATGTGCGTGGTCTTTCATTCAAAACATGTTAGAGTGGGAGGCAATGTCCCTGGAACTATTGACTTTTCCCACTGAACGTCCATCCGCCTTTCAGCGTGCTTCAGCCTATGCAGATTCCAAATAGGCACGAGACCTACACCACTACCATCGTGGACGACATCGTCATAAGTGATATCATAGCGCAGCCATCATTATCGCCGTCACATCATCAGCATGGCCGTCACCATTGTCATGATCGTATAGCCGTTGCCATCATCAGCGTCATCATCATGATGCCCATCGGCCTGTATACTGTCGTGATACCTGCAATCAGGCAATCATCACCACTAGCGCCGCCGTCGTTGTTATCCTCACTGCCATCTTCGCCGTCGCCATCCAACCGATCACGAAGCCTGCTTGCTAAGCTTGGCACAAGCACTCGCAGGAGAGAGACGAAAGCGTGACCGAAGACTGGCCTGGGTGCGAACTAAAGAACGGGCACCATCTAATCTCTTGGGGCCTAAATAATTACCAATTCAATACAACTTTTGGGAGTTCCGTATTATTGTTGTAATATGACGGGCCCCAAAACCCTATTTGACGTATTAGCCCCCTATATTATCAGCTCTCGGTTTGGTTGTCTGTACGGTAATCAATGAAGCTGTGTGTGTGTGTGTTGTCCTGAGCGCGTGCATACGTGTTCGTGCCCTGCCCATCACTTAGGTCAATACCTCTGTTGATATGCACATCTACTATGCCACCAGTGAGAGACACAAACCCAAGCTAATGTAGCGCACCACAGCTACACCAGCCGCACGGCTACGACATGGGTCTGGGACACCAACGCAGGAGCTCCTGTCAATGTCAAGAGACATGGCTTCTTCTGGCGTGCATTGGCGAACATGTGAGCACGTGCGCACATCGGACTGCTCACAATCGACAAACTTGCCAGTATCTGCAAATCGTGTACATGCTGCTGTGCCTCCTCGTCTGACAGATGGACTTGTTCCAGGAGCAGCCTCAGCAAGCTCTGACAAAAACTTGAGGGGTTCGCATGCGGCGGCCTGCGAAAGTCACAGTCACTCCCTAAACCCTACGTAAATCCCTGCAAACCCCGGAAGGCCCATTAATTCAGCGGCTTTACAAATCAGAAGCGGGCTCTGTTGAATGTTATAACTTCTAGAACATGGGAATGCTACTACTACTTACTCTCGCCCCTATGACCTTAACGCTGCTGTAAGGCCGAAACGGTATCGCCTTGCACGCCTCGCGGGCACCGGCAGCCATGCTTCAAGCCATCGCTGCGGTCAGGAGCTCAAGTTTGTAGCTGGGACTGTCCCGCTTAAGCTTAACTCTAGTGACAAGCTCCAAACGCCTCGAAACTCGAGTTAAACCCCCTTAATCCTTAAAACGCTAACCCCCGGAGTTGGCACGTCCAGCTCAGAACACGGCACACGCCGGGCATCCCCGAACTTTTTCACTACAAGCCACTGTCTGAGGTGAAACAGGGAGCTGAGGATCGGGGTCTTAATAATCACCTAGCCTTAATCATCACCTATAGATTATTTTGGGGGCTCCTTATTGTAAGTATAGTATAATGGGCCCTAAATGATTCTTCTTATGGCCCCTATATTACCTCAGTCAGCTCTAGGCTGGAGTCTCTGCAGCGGCGATTTCGTCACCATGCTTCTCCATTTCTTTCGAGATCTCTTCTTGCTCTTTAGCGACCTCTTCCTTCGCTTTCGCCTGCCAGCTTGCAGCTTGCAGAAGAAGTCACCGACGATAGCTTAAACAACGTACACCACAGCTCAGTAGCAAGATCCCTTCCTGCTGCGCAGCTTCCTGCTCGGCTTGTTTTGTCAGCATCTTTGCTTCATGCGGCGTCCTCGCGCGGGGGATGTTCATCTCCCCTGTGATGTTGGTGACGAACCGCTCTGCACCTCACTCAGCTCACCATGGAAGCATTGAAGGAGCAACTCTGCGTGGCTGTCATGGATAAGTGTCGCGACATTAATACATGAGTGTATGCAGGAGGAAACGCCGAAGATGACGCTCAGTAGCGATATGGCGGCTTTGGCGATGCCGCCGCAGTGGTGATAATGATAATGCTTCAAAACATGATCGCAGCATTAGGAATTGCAGCAGTTTCCAGCAGTAGTAGTAGTAGTAGTAGTAGTAGTAGTAGTAGTAGTAGTAGTAGTAGTAGTAGCAGTAGCAGTAGCAGTAGCAGTAGCAGTAGCAGTAGCAGTAGCAGTAGCAGTAGGAGTAGGAGTAGGAGTAGGAGTAGGAGTAGGAGGAGTAGGAGGAGTAGGAGTAGGAGTAGGAGTAGGAGTAGGAGTAGGAGTAGGAGTAGTTGTTGTTGTAGTTGTAGTTGTAGTAGTTGTCGTAGCAGAGGCCGCAACAGCAGCAGCAGTAGCAGCAGTCGCAGTCGCAGCACCAGTGGCAGTAGCAGTCGCAACAGTAGCAGCAGCAGTAGCAGCAGCATAGGTAGTAGGAGTAGTAGCAGTAGTAGTTGGTGTTGGTGGTGTCGAGGTAGTGCTTGTTGTAGCAGCACTCGCAGTTATTCCCGTACGAGTACAACGACTCGTGCTGGTAGTAGATACCCAGTCACAACAGTCCGCCGATCCAGAACACTCAGAGCCTGACAAGACTCAGCACAGATTGCACCACGATTGTCATCCTCTTCATTCCACTCCTTTTCTTTCTGTGCTCCTTCGCGACCATGTACGCCTCCTTCGCCACCATGTAGCCCTGCTTGGCCACCATTGGGGCCACCATTGGGGCCACCATTGGGGCCACCATGTAGCCCTACTTGTGAACCAGCATCTGCTTGTGCAGCATCTCCTTCTCCTTCTCCCTCTCCACCTTGACCGTGCCCCTCCACCTGCGCAGTCTAACTATCGTTCGTCCCCGAACGTGCCCGAAGGAGAAACTAAAGTGGCCCTAAAACGATAACCTCCAACCCATAAACCCAACACCCTACATCCCCGAAAACAGAATCCAGTGTGTGTTAGGGGCTGACGGTTAAGCATCTCGAACGCCGCTGGGACCCACAATGGAGTATATTCATGTATAGGCATATATACAGATTGAAGGATGGCTAGCTGGCTAGCTTAGCTTGCTTGCTACATAGATCACATACGTGTGTGTATATATATAATGTATGTACATACGTACATACATACATATGCATATACCCATGTACACACACACACATATGCATATATACACACACCTATATCACGCACATATAGTCAAACAGATAGATAAATGGATGGATGGATGGATGGATGGATAGGTAAACAGATAGATGGCCGCCGATATATGTATATGCACGCACACACAAATACATGAATACATACATACATACATACATACATACATACATACATACATACATACATACATACATAGACATCCAGCCAGCCAGCCAGACAGACAGACAGATACATACATACATACGTACGCATACATACATAAGTACATGCATACATACATTCATGCATGCATGCATACATACGTACACATACTTATCTACCGTTGTCCATACTTAAATCTTATTTGGGCATACGTGTTTCTAGTGGGCTGCCTCTGTACTTTCGTACGTCTATAACGATAACGAAGAACTCTACAAAACACTGCAGCGTACATTCAATACCAGGTCAACCTTAAACCCTATCCTCCATCACACCATGAGCAAGACAAGATTGAGAATAAGAAATATTGCTACGACTAGTGTTACTGGTGTTGCCATTTGTATTCACCTTGTCAACGCCACCGTTCCCATCATAGCTGTCGTTAACAGCAGCAAGTGATCTGAACAACCATACCGAATAATTATGGCTACAGATACTGATACGGTGGTACGTACAGCAGTGGTGAGGATCGTTGTAACGTAAGCCCCGTCCGACTCCCACACTCTTGCACTAGTTCGTACAGCTGAGGCAGAACCCCAAGCCTTCTGGCACGTTGGGCACACAATGGCTAGCAATAGCAGCCTGAACAAGCAAGCTGGGGTTTCGGGTGTTCGGCAGCATAAGGAGTGGTGTTGCCCATTACTCACTATCCGGATTCCTCCTAGACACGTAGACCTAAACCCTAAACCCCTAAACCCTACACCCCTAAAAGCCAAACCCTAAACCTTAAACCCCTAAACCCTGCACCCCTAAACCCCAAACCCTTAAACCCTAAACCCCCAACTCGGCCTCCTCCTCCTTGTACTTCAGGGGCCAACTTACTGAGCCCGGGCGGCAGCCTTCGGGACGGCTCGAGTTGAAATAGGGGCCTTAATAATTTGACTAGGGTTTGGGGGCATATTACACTATAAACATAATCAGGAACCCCCAAAACCATAGTCGAACTATTTTTAGCGTGAAGCCTGAAAAGTAGGACTGGTGTGGAAAGGATCCTCCCTGAAATTCTGACACCCCCACTCATCTGTCCGCCAGGATATCCGTCTTGGGTGTCTGCAGATTCGAATTTCAATAACCCTATGATGGCCCTGCAACAGCCGTGTGGGACCTATACTTACACGATTCTAATTATAGAAGCCTTATGAAGCCCCGCCGGGCCTTCGTCCACCTCAGAGCAGTCTCGGATGCCCTTGCCGCTGTCGACGCAGTGCTTGCAACTGCCATCCTGCGACCAGATTGCCTCGCCTGGGAAGTGGGGGGCATGGCCTAGTGACTCATGCAGACATGGGAGCTCAGGCTCAGGCTTCGGTGCTTCCTGGACCCACGGTTTAGTACGGTTTAGTATTTTAGGGTTCCTAAAGCTTTGCGTCCTAAACCCCACTACCTCCCTCAAAACCTCCTGGTTTAGAGTTTAGAGGTCGGGGTTTTGGTCATTTTGGTGCGGCGAAACTCTGCCAAGCTGCCGTTGATGCACAAACAGCATCGGGGGCGCCCGGTCTTCCTGGCTTGGGTACCTGAGCCGAAAACTAGGGGCGCCTATCAGGGTTCTACAAGTGCTTGATAAGGGCAATAAGGATTCTATCAGTGCTTTATAAGGGTTATCAGGGTTCTTTAAGTGCTTTATGAGGGTATGCTGTAGACTGGAGCATGCTGGGGGCTTGCGTATGCTTGGTTCCCAAGACCTGCTGCTGAGCGCAGGCGCATGAAAGCTGATTGATTCGGAGCCTGGATCTGCTACTGCTACAGCAGCCTTGCTCCAGCCTGACATCCTGGGTCCTCAACGAATCCACAACTTGATGCAAAACTTGACACAAAGCACCGATTCACGACTGCTGCTGTGAAGAACGAGACCCAGGAGAAGAACACTTCATGGCAACAGCAATAGTAATAGCAATCCAAGCCACAATAATGGCAGTATTCTGAATCCTCCAACAGCTTCAGCAGCTCTCCTAAGGCTCCGGCACTCCGGATTGACCTTATCTGGGTCGGGAGCCTGCGGCCAACTTTGATTCGTGCTACTGTTGTCGTTGTTGCTGTCTTGTTCGACGTTTCTGCTGGTAGTACTAGGTACGCCTTAATGACACGCATGTACGCAAAGTCACTACGTACCGCTAGTGTTTGAACTCTTCTTGTGAAGCCGGGGTACTAACAGATGTCTGGGCTTGCACGAAAGTGCCTCTCCAACTCATTCCGTGACCTCCTAATCGAATTTCACAAAGAAGACCTCAACCCGAGAAGAGCCCGAAACCCAAAGCTCCTGAGACCAAAAGCCCTGAGTTTGGGCTCTTTCGCCCAATTGGACCGGGTCCTGCTTCGCAGCGGCCTCCTCTTCGATCTCTTCCTCTTCAGCCTCGGCACTCGGTTTCCGTATCCCCGCAACATCCTGAAAAAACACGTGAAAGGCCCGAATCCCCAGCTTCCCAGACGACGAGCCTCTTTGTCTTTGTCTTGCACGACTGCCTCCAATGTTTTTTCCTTGAATGACGCCCGATGCCCGCGGGCGCCGGCACCTGAACGACACCCGAGAAAACCCCCAAGCCGGGCTTTCTAGGGTTTCCTGAACCGTCAGCCCTACTTCGGGTGCAAAAATGAGAGTTGTGCGGCAGCAAGACTGCTCGAGAATATCCTTGCATATCATGTGCGAGGCTATGCGAGGCTGACAGCAAGCAGCCGGCCTCGTCGGTGTACATGGGCTTCTTCTCCCTGTTTAGGGCTTACGGTTTAGAAGTTTGGGGTTATAGGGTTTTAGGGTCTAGGGACATGGTCTCGGGTTTGGGTTTCGGGGGGAGGATGGACGCTGTAGATCTCAACGTCTGATAAGCCTGTCAGCTGGAATCCTAGCCACGCCCACAGACGGCAAAACATCCAACGCTTAGCCGGCTTTGCTTATGCAATCATATTTGTGTCTTCACCTAGCTATTTGTCTGTGTCTACATCTAGATCTATATCTACCTATATTTACATATATACATATATATATATATATATACCCTCAATTAAACCCTAAACCCTGAACCCTGAACCGACCCTTACGCAGTCGGCTTCCGTTGACCGTAGCAGCAGCTGAGGCCATGGCCAGACGGAGGGCCCGGCTGGAGGAGATGAATGACGTGGCTTTGCAGCCGCGGCCTCCGTCCTGCCGAGTATTATAGTGGCCCTTAATGATGAGAATAGGGTTTTGTTAGACTATAACTATGATAAAGAAACCACAAAATAGCATAGGTAAAAAAGCCCCTATAGTAGGGTTTTCCGGTGATGTGGCAGACACATGATCCTGGCAGAAGGAACTTGTGCTACCACAGACCCTACTGAGGTAGGTCGTCTGCACCCCTGACCACCAGCCTGTTAGTTGGTTTGTGGCATGGTATCAAATGGCCCCGTCGACAGACATGCAGCACTTCTTCTTCACTGATGAATCTCAAATCCCAAGCTGCTGGAGGTCCTCTGGGCCGCAGAGGAACCGTGCGGAGGGAAGCCTCTGCCGAACCCGAGGGACCTTTGGTGGCCGGGAGCAGAGTGAGGTTTGGGCTCTTCCTTGGCGGGCCTTCAAGTAGCAAACAGGGAATAGGCGCAGGGAGCGAACTACGGCTCGGGTGGGACTCTGCCTGCAAGCGAGGTTTTCAGTTAGGGGGTCCGGGAAACGGAATCCTCCAACAACCACCCCTCGGAGGGCCGACACAGATAGAATCTAGTTGGCGGATGCAAAGAGCACACACGTCCAAAGATTTTGGAGGAATGTTGCCAAATTCGGGGTCGCTATGTCGCACATTGTCGAACCTCCAGATTTTCGTCAAGCCTCCCACTCCCACCTCTTCCACCCACGCGGCGCAAGGCCGTGCCCGAGTAGCGGACTTCAGACTCGAAGAGGCCCAGAGGCTGAGACCGCCACGCCTGGGTCGCTTACTGGCGACGAGGAAACAAGCATTGGACTAAAGATATCGCATATAATAATCAAGATACAAGTGGAACAGCAATCATGAAGCTGAGGATGACCAGAAGAGGTACGGTACATTGTAAGAATTACCAGAGTCAGCACGTCACCATCGCCGTCACAGCCCTGGTTGTCATTACCGTCCTGCCCGACAAACAATGAAGTAACAATCTCAAGGACTACATCAGTTAACATCCGAAACTTAAACTGAACATGAGAGTTTCAGAACATAAGTCGCTAAATCTGGATCCTCAACATCGCTCAACGGTAGCACTCTAAATATGAGGGCAACCTTGATCTCGCCATACCAACCATAAAACCGAAATCCCAAACCTCAAGATAAACCCGGAAAGTCCTGAGCCGCAGACCTTTAACGACTTCAGCGACGCGAGGTTGCACGTTCCCACATCCGCCGTGTGTTGGCTCTCATGGCAAAGCAGGCGCATGCTGAGAGGTAAAGAGGACGAGATACATAAACTCTCAATAACCGGATCCACAAGATAAGTTACTTCCAACGGCGTACAAGGCTGTTGAAGGTGTCAAACCAGCTGGGGAATGCATGGACCATCTGAATTCATGGGACACCAGAGCGAGTGCTGAGTCCAGAATTCTTGTTCTGATTTTTGACAGGCCGGTGTGCTTTGCACCTGTTGTCGCCTGAGCCGGAAACCAGCATGCCGGCCCTACACTCAACTTGTTACAAAGCCCGAAAAGCTCAACTGTGAGCTGTTCCTACTTATTCAGAAACTTAGCTCAAGTTACCCTGATGGTACAGTAAGCATCTGACTGTGTTGCAGCTTAAGTAGTGCCTGAGCGAGAACCCAGGGACTGCCCTGCTACCATGGCAAGCCCAGGCTCCTTTTCCGACGTGGAGCCGCGCTCTAAACTCGTGCTCTTCTGAACACCGCTCAGTACTACCCAGTCGCTCAACCGGAAGATGTGTCATGCAGGGTAGGCTACGACTGCACAGGCAAGAGGCCAGCGCAGCTTCGCCACTCTCCAGTTGCAAGATGAAACTGCAACTTATGCAAGGGGTGCTATAGATGTTATATCAGCACACAGAGTGTACACTGGCTTGAAGCACGCTGATCGTTCGAAAACAATTGCTACGCGATTTTGCTCTAGCTCCATGCAAACCGACAAGCCTTACAAGCACCGGCTTACATCCAGAATCCCGACAACCGACCACCAAGACGAGATACCAGCGTGAGACGGTTTGCGACGCCTGATGGCATCCACTGCCATGTTGGCACGGCAGCCCTGCTGCACTGCTTCCTGCCATAACGTGGCACAGCAGGGTGTGACCTCCCTTGTGTCTCATCCCTGGCTCTCTTCCACGAGGTGGTTGACGATAGCCTTGGCATCAAACGAAGCTCACGACAAGCCCACTTCGTTTCGACCGAGGGAAATCCAAATCCTTTTGCCGGACATCTGGGCCCAAAGCCTGCAAGCAGAAGACTGACCTGTGCAAGCCCGACTGATGCCAACAGCAGCCAAAATGCCGACACGTTCGGGAAGTCGAAGACCAAAGATGGCGACAGGGTCATCTGGAACTCCTTGGACACCTTGATCAATGGTTTCAACATTGTTGTTCTTGCTGCTACTTACTGTTCTATATACATATATATATATACAGAAATATGCATATAGACAAAAATTCTGTTGTTGGCGCTGCTGATGCTTGTAGCCATTTGCAATGACTTTGGCGCAGTGACGGCTGCTGCGGCGGCTGCTGATGTCTTCGCCGTTCTTTGACGTCTATGGAAGCGATCTTGATTTGTGTATTTATATATATATATATATATACATACATGTGACGGCCACCACGCATTTGAATCTGATCCTGGCGGTCTTCAGAGCGATGATGCCAGAGGTGATGACGATGGTGATGATGGTGATGGTGGTGAAGACGGTGTTGATGTTGCTGATGGCGATAACATGATGATAGTGATGATAATGATGATGATGCTGATGATCGCTTCTGATGATCGCGGGCTACTCCTCGTTGATTCGCTCTCTTGCTGGTCATCGGGCACTCTGTGAGTACTGCTAGCATAGCTGCTAGTACAGTGGTGGCAACCTGCAGCCTTCGTCGAAGAAGCCAACGCCGTCGTTGAGTTACTGGTCGGTATAGGCACGTTCAGATAAGGATGCTGCCTCCGTGACGAGCTGGACGGACGACAGACCTCAACAGACATACATGTCATGTCCAGGGTGTGGAACGGCCAAGCTGCCGAGAATGCTTCGAGTCTGGGTTCCGGGCTGTCCATACCAGCTTCCATAAGCGGGCTGTCCGCCTTAGCATCTGCGCCGTCCAGAAAGGGCGAAAGTCTTAGTGGCTTCACAACGAGCAGCAGCCACCAAACCTGCAGTTTTGAGGGGCAGACGGTAATTTCGTCGTCTGCGGCAATCACATCCTTGACCTCGGACGTCGAGCAGATACATCAGCCAGACACCAACATACCGGACGCATTTCATGTGGCATCCGCCACGAGTCCCAAGCGATGCTCATCAGCCGCTTCGTTGCCAGCGCAGGGTCCAAGCCTACGCAGGGTCAGGTTCGCTCTGAATCTGCTCGTCACGCCTTTTTCGGGCCTGCAAAGGCTACTGTAACAAGCCACACTTAGGAGCCTTTACAATATGAGTAGGAGTAGTGGTAGAAGTAGAATTTGGTAGCAGGAGCAGATGATTCACTGCGTCTGGCAGTGTTACTTGAATCCGTCATCGTCGGTTATTTGCCGCTGTCTGGCAAACGCTGGAGCAGTAGCTGTAGCAACGACGGCAGCAGCAGTGCCAGCACCACCAAATCCGACACGTAGTGGGGCAGGACTCGACAAGAAGACTGAGATACGTGGCATGCGGAACTTGTGAAAGATACCCAATGGTTGAATGCAAGGGTAGCGAGTTGTGTAAAAGAAAAATGGATAAGCTCGTCAACCAACGAAAACGTGCAACGGCATACGGCATTTCGCTGCGATACGTACCTTCGCCCATGCGCATCTACAACTACGTATGCAATGACAAAGGTAGGTATGTGTGTATGCATGCGTACATGTCGTCCTTGCATATGCACACAGATACACGGAGCTCTCTGTCCATGGATATTCGTGGTGGGGTTCTGTGTACATTCCACACCCTGGCCTTATTACCAACACCTACATCTTTAGAAACTTTCAACCACCGTCCGATTGTAGCACTGTGCTGCTGCGCACCCTTCGGCTGCTCCGGCGCCACAGCCGAAGCGGCAGGGGCTGCACCTGGCAGAGAGACCAAGATAATTACTAATGAAATATGCTCCATATTGTGACCAGGTTAAAAGTTATACCCGATGACTGCTAGGAGAAAAGCATCACAGTACTTTGTGGTCGGCATCATACCCATAAGCAATGTGTCATCACTATTTTGAGGATGCATCGATTGGATGAGGCTCGATTTCGCTCGACAATGCCTGGGCCCGACGCTGAGCTCTAAATTGTTCTCGGGCTAGCTGCAGCATCTAGTCTAGCCGGACTCTGGCCCGAAACACCCGGAGACTCGAAGACCCCAGAAATTGGGAATATCAAACCAGGGAACCGTCATACGGGATCCGTAAATCAGGGCCAGACTACCCTACATAAACCCCTTGTATGAAGCCAAACGGTAAGCTGTTCTCTTACACAATGAACCCCTGATTGTAATCCCTGGGAACCAGTTGAATCCTTCTAGTTGAATGTAAATCCTAAGGCCTAAAATCCTTAGCCCGACCTCCCTCAACCCTTAGAGCCCTAGAACCCTGAACCCTCCCCAGCCGTCTTGGGGAGAAGTCTATATAGCGCTTGCCTGCAGCAGGTGCCGCCTGGCCAGGCCTTAGACCGCAGGTGCAAGGCTTCTGGTTTGGGCCATTGGGGGCCTTGGGGTTTAGGATTTGAACTTCAGGTCAATTCAGTACTTAGACTTAGAAGATGATTACTCCCTTACTGTAGGCCCGAAAATCCTGCTCTAGATCGTCAGGCGACCATTGTCTGGGGCATTTTAAGGTTTGGAGTTTGGGGCAAGTATGAACTCTGTGCTCAGGGCCTGGTCTAAAGTCAGGGGAGGTAAGGCTTAATGTCGAGGGACTAAGAGTTCATGTTTTTCTTGTTCTGGTCGGCTCTATCCCTCTTCATGTGCAGGCTTTTGGAGTCGAGTTGCAAGCTTGTTCTCCATTTGCCCGTTTGAAAAGACATGCATGCGTTATTGGAAGCTGCTCTTTCACTTGCTGGCGTGGCCAGCAACTGGAAGTCAACAGCGGAGGCCGATTCATGATGCAGGTTGTCTGTTTTCTTCTTACTGCCTTGCTAGGTCTGCTGGGTTGCCTTTGATGGAGGGTGCAAGGGACAATTGAGAGCTAGCAGACCGAGATCGCACCGGCCGGCCTCACGCTTTCGCTCGCTAAGCACCGCACTCTGCCGCAGCAATCATCTGCTGGACCGGTGGCGCAACCACCTCCTTGCCTTAGAACAAATTGGGACATCAACTCGCACGGTTGAAATGGCAAATGATTGAAAAATGATTGAAACCGATTGTGAAATCTACGTAGGGTGTTATTTGGGGCTACTTCCCAGTACAAACGCAAGCTCCCCATCTCGCTTAGAACGCTTTCAGCGCCGAGCTCTTCTTCTCGGCCTTCTCGATCCTCTCGAGGCATGACTTCGACTGCGATTCCGCCTGGCAGAGGCATCTGCCAGCAGTGGCATTGACCCACGGAAGGCCGAAGAGCTTCCTACCATAGCGGCCGCAATCATAAGACTAGGACTTTGGGGGCATCTTATACCATAACCGTAGTAAAGAACCCCCAAAACTGTATTACACTCCAAGCTCCCGCACTTGCCTGGCGGTCGTGCAAGGCGTTCGCTTGCTTCATGGCCTGATCTGCAACTTCTTTGGCCTCAGGGCTCTCGAACGGTACGCGAGTAGCAGAAATCCGGGGGCAACCATCGCGTCGGTCTCTCTTGCATTGTTCACGAAGTTTTTACTTCCCAGATACATACATTTATACATGCATACATCCATACATGCATGCATCCATGCATGTACACATCATACACTGTTATAGCTTGCCAGCTCGGGATCATCAGACCGAGCCTCCTCGAAGTGCTTGAGGCCTCGCGAGCAGGGATGCAGGAACAGCAGCCCCGCGGAAGCAAAAAGCTCAGTCTGGAGGTTAGGAACTTCGTTACCAACAAGCTCGAAAGGCATTTTAGGAAACCTGTGCACTTAGAGCACGTGAGTGCGATCACTCATCCCGATCACAGAAGCACGTAGCAACACCCTTCGTCATTACCTTACAACTCCTTTACTTGGCTCCATGCTCCCATCTTCAATTCAAAATTGGGCCTGCCAGGCAATCTGCCGCCAGGATCTTACACTGAACCATAGCACCTGGGATTGCGCGGGCCCTAGACAAGGATGCTCATGAAGGCTCATG